AAGACTAGACTATAGATTTAAAATATAGACTAGACTAGGCTCGAACTATACGAGGCAATAGACAAGACTATCTACTAGACTATAGACTACACTATAGATTAAAATATAGATTAGACTATACTATATACTAGATTATCTACTAGGACTATAGACTAGGTTATATAATAGACTATAGACTAGACTATAAAGTATTCTATAGACTAGATTATAGACTAGACAATGGACTTATACACTAGACTAGACTATAGTAGACTAGACTATAAACTAGACTATAGACTAGACTAGACTATAGACTAGACTAGACTATAGACTAGACTATAGACTAGACCATAGACTAGACTATAGACCAGACTATAGACTAGACTATAGACTAGACTATAGTCTAGACTATAGACTAGACTATAGACTAGACTATAGACTAGACTATAGTCTAGACTATAGGACTAGACTATAGACTAGACTATAGACTAGACTATAGACTAGACTATAGACTAGACTATAGACTAGACTATAGACTAGACTATAGACTAGACTATAGACTAGACTATAGACTAGACTATAGACTAGACTATAGACTAGACTATAGACTAGACTAGACTAGACTATAGACTAGACTATAGACTAGACTATAGACTAGACTATAGACTAGACTATAGACTAGACTATAGACTAGACTATAGACTAGACTATAAACTAGACTATAGACTAGACTATAGACTAGACTATAGACTAGACTATAGACTAGACTATAGACTAGACTATAGACTAGACTATAGACTAGACTATAGACTAGACTATAGACTAGACTATAGACTAGACTATAGACTAGACTATAGACTAGACTATAGACTAGACTATAGACTAGACTATAGACTAGACTATAGACTAGACTATAGACTAGACTATAGACTAGACTATAGACTAGACTATAGACTAGACTATAGACTAGACTATAGACTAGACTATAGACTAGACTATAGACTAGACATAGACTAGACTATAGACTAGACTATAGACTAGACTATAGACTAGACTATAGACTAGACTATAGACTAGACTATAGACTAGACTATAGACTAGAATAGACTAGACTATAGACTAGTATAGACTAGACTATAGACTAGACTATAGACTAGACTATAGACTAGACTATAGACTAGACTATAGACTAGACTATAGACTAGACTATAGACTAGACTATAGACTAGACTATAGACTAGACTATAGACTAGACTATAGACTAGACTATAGACTAGACTATAGACTAGACTATAGACTAGACTATAGACTAGACTATAGACTAGACTATAGACTAGACTATAGACTAGACTTAGACTAGACGATAGACTAGACTATAGACTAGACTATAGACTAGACTATGACTAGACTATAGACTAGACTATAGACTAGACTATAGACTAGACTATAGACTAGACTATAGACTAGACTATAGACTAGACTATAGACTAGACTATAGACTAGACTATAGACTAGACTATAGACTAGACTATAGACTAGACTATAGACTAGACTATAGACTAGACTATAGACTAGACTATAGACTAGACTATAGACGACTAGACTAGACTATAGACTAGACTATAGACTAGACTATAGACTAGACTATAGACTAGACTATAGACTAGACTATAGAATAGACTAGACTATAGAATAGACTATAGACTAGACTTTAGACTACACTATAGACTAGACTATAGACTAGACTATAGACTAGACTATAGACTAGACTATAGACTAGACTATAGAATAGACTAGACTATAGAATAGACTATAGACTAGACTATAGACTAGACTATAGACTAGACTATAGATAGACTATAGACTAGACTATAGACTAGACTATAGACTAGACTATAGACTAGACTATAGACTAGACTATAGACTAGACTATAGACTAGACTATAGACTAGACTATAGACTAGACTATAGACTAGACTAGACTATAGACTAGACTATAGACTAGACTATAGACTAGACTATAGACTAGACTAGACTAGACTATAGACTAGACTATAGACTAGACTATAGACTAGACTATAGACTAGACTATAGACTAGACTATAGACTAGACTATAGACTAGACTATAGACTAGACTATAGACTAGACTATAGACTAGACTTTAGACTACACTATAGACTAGACTATAGACTAGACTATAGAGTAACCAAATCAACATTTGCCGTTTACAGGGTGTTTAATGAAATATTACATAATGTTAAAAATGTAATAATTGTATGTGGAAATTTTCTTCAAAAAAATTCTCTCAGTGTAAGTTTTGTTCAACTAGAACCAAAGCAAATTTTATACATATTTTTAAGTTTTCCCATTTTGCCATTATTTGACTTCAAGATCACCTAGATAAGATAATTGAGAGACAACTTGCGACAATAATAACACAACAATAACAATATCTTCATCTTAGAAAAAAATCATAAAACAAATATACTCTTTAATAAATAATTTCGTATAGAAGTACGTCTTTTTTAGCTAAAAAATTTAGCACAATCATTTGATATCATTAAGAGCAATAAAAAAAATTTAAATATTTTTTTTCGTTTATTATCATTTTGGGGACACTAAACAAACACAAAAAAATGCAATTTTATAGTTAAGAAAATAATAAAATTATAAAAAATTGTAACAATGAAAAAAAAGCTTATGAATAGTGTTATACAGACAGTAAACAACGGCGTGTTTATTGGCGTCAGAATGAGTGAAGTAAATAATATGTAAAAAATAAGAGTAAACAAGACAAAAACACGAAATGTAAACAAAGGGAACAAGGGAAAGGAGGAAAAACAAGGGGAAAGGGGAAGGGAACACGGGAGGACACACAAAAGGAGGGAAGAAGGAAAGGAACGGGGAACGGGAACGAACGAACGAACGAACGAACGAACGAACGAACGAACGAACAAACGAACGAACGAACGAACGAACGAACGAACGAACGAAGAACGAACGAACGAACGAAGAACGAAAACGAAAACGAACGAACAACGAACGAACGAACAACGAAAACGAAACGAACGAACGAACGAACGAACGAACGAAGAACGAAACGAACGAACGAACGAACGAAAAACGAACGAAAACGAAACGAACGAACGAAACAACGAAACGAACGAAAGAACGAACGAACGAACGAACGAACGAACGAACGAAACGAACGACGAACGAACGAACGAACGAACGAAACGAACGAACGAACGAACGAACGAACTAACGAACGAACGAACGAACGAACGAAACGAACGAACGAACGAACGAACGAACGAACGAACGAAAACGAACGAACGAACGAACGAAAGAACGAAAACGAAAACGAAACAAAAAGAACGAACGAAAACGAACGAACGAACGAACGAAAACGAACGAACGAACGAACGAACGAAAAGAACGAACGAACGAACGAAACGAACGAACGAACGAACGAACGAAAACGAACGAACGAACGAACGAACGAACGAACGAACGAACGAACGAACGAAAACGAACGAACGAACGAACGAACGAACGAAACGAACGAACGAACGAACGAACGAACGAACGAACGAACGAACGAAACGAACGAACGAACGAACGAAACGAACGAACGAACGAAACGAACGAAAAAACGAACGAACGAACGAAACGAAAACGAACGAACGAAACGAACGAACGAAACGAACGAACGAACGAAACGAACGAACGAACGAACGAACGAACGAACGAACGAACGAACGAACGAACGAACGAACGAACGAACGAAACGAACGAACGAACGAACGAACGAAACGAACTAAAACGAACGAAAACGAACGAACGAACGAACGAACGAAGAACGAAACGAACGACACGAACTAACGAACGAACGAACGAACGAACGAACGAACGAACGAACGAACTAACGAACGAACGAACGAAACGACTAACTAAACGAACGAACTAACTAACGAACGAACTAAAAACTAACTAACAAAAACTAACTAACTAAAACTAACTAACTAACTAACTAACTAACTAACTAACTAACTAACTAACTAACTAACTAACTAACTAACTAACTAACTAACTAACTAACTAACTAACTAACTAGCTAGCTAACTAACTAACTAACTAACTAACTAACTAACTAACTAACTAAATAACTAACTAACTAACTAGCTAGCTAGCTAACAACTAACACTCTTCATATATCAAATCATTTTCGTTAATTACGCGGTTGACGTCATGTAAAAAAAACTTTAATTGTTGACATTATGTAAAGTAAAGATTTTCAGCGTTTTTAACATGAAAATTTATGAAATATTGATTAAAAATCTTTATATTTTAAATGTTTCTTTTAATTTACATAGTTGACATCACGTAAATATAACTTTAAATTAAGTAAATAAGGAATTTTCATGAAAACCCTTTGTAAAATACAAGTAGTAGGCTTAAGTTCAAAATTTTTCCATTATATACATTGTTGACATGATGTAAAAAAAAGGTATTTTACACTTAGTTATATTAAAATTATAATATTTTTGGTACAAATTGGAAATTATTAGTTATTTTTAACTTTTTACATTGTTGACATTATGTAAACAATTAAATTTTTTACTGTAATTGTTAAAAATTCAAAATTTTTATTGTTAAATATTGAACTATATAAATTCACTTTATTTTTTTGTGCTGACATTAATATTTAACAATATTTGAGTTAAAAGTTTATGAATATGCAATATTTTTAATTGTTTACATTATTGACATCATGTAAACAATTGAATTTTTTCAATAAATATTAAAAAACTTAAAAGTTTTATTGGTAATTTTTTAATGTTTATAAAATTTACTTTAGTTTTCATAGTTGACATTGTGTAAATAATGTATTTTACCTGATGTAAAATAAAGAAAATTAAAGAAATTTCTTATTTTTCATGTAAAATTCATTATTTTATTTTTTTTAATTTAAAAAAATTTCTTAATTTTATTTTTTTGTTTCTTATTTTCTTTTCAGTGTAAACCTCCCTTTAAACCACATTTTGTCCGTTATTCTTTTGCTGAATAATTTAAAAATTTTCAATCCTCCATATAAATTTATAATTATAGCAAAAAAAGGCAAAATTAATAAACATCATTAACATCATGATGAAGTGTATAATAATGATAATGAAGTTTATTACTACCACCAAACTACTACCAGCAGATTACTCCAACAATATTTAATAGTCATTTTCATTTAAAAAAAAAACAACAAATTAAAACAGAAGCCATAAAATCCGACGCTATTGGGACTCACTGGTTATAAATTTATAAAAATATATTCAGCAACTGAATAAAAAAAATTTTGTATTTCTAAATCTATAAAAAAAACTACATGATTTTAATGAACAGAACTTCAGTCTAACGACAGCAAACGACCCTGCGACAACAACGAAAACAACGACGCGCATCGCTGACTACGAGCCCGCAAAATAATTGTAAAGAATTTTTTCAAAAAAACCAACAAAATCATTACTAAATCAGCAAAGGTAGTGAGTGAGCAGTTAAACGTCATATAAAAGTGATCGTGTTAGAGAGAGCAGTGGATTTACTAACAAAATAACAAACGAATTTTTATCAATAAAAATAAAATTTAAAAAAAATTTCGAAAATTTAAAAACGTAATAAAAGAAAAATTTAATAAATTTATAAATAGTTATTAAACGTTTATAGTGAAAAATTAAAAAACGTTCATAACATTTTGCAAAAAAAAAAAAAATTAAAATATTTAAAAAATTTTTATAAAATTATTAAACGAAAACTTTAGCCATTTATTAATAAAAACCTCAAGTATTTGTTAAAACCAATGATTAAATTACAACATAAAACTAAATTCTCAGAAGATTAATCAACAATTTTAAAAAGAAAAATCTATTAAAATCGTGATCATTTCATACAAAACTAAAAAAAGTGGTCCATAAACCCCTTTGAAAACTTAACAAGTTAAAAGAAAATTACAACGATTTCTATTAAAAGAATTTAATAAAATAAAGTTTTAAACAAAATCTATACAAAAATAGAGGCTTGGCTGAATTACCCGTTTCAAAACATTTGAAAATTTAAAGCAATTATAAATTTTTAATAAAATTCTGAATAATTTAACGATCCGAGCAAGAAATTTGCAAAGAAATCTATACTGAAAACAAAACATCTACAGTGTCTCAAATAAACCTTAAAAAATCTGCCAATTTTTTTGGGTTAAAAAGTGCTATTTAAAGGAAAATTCTTAAGTGGTCCAAAGACCCCCTTGAAAATATTAAAACTTTAAAGGGTATTATAACTGATTTAACGAAAAGAACTGATCCTATAGCAATTCCTAACAGAAAGCTATAAAAATCTACCACTTTCAGCTGGAAAAAAGACTCTGGAATTGAAATTTCCAAGTGGTCGAAGAACCCCCCTTAAAAGTTAAACATCAGTAAAAGAATTTCAACAGTTTGAGGCAAGGAAAGCAACTGTAATATCTTTAATCAACATTAACAAGTGGAAAATCTGCAAAAACTGAAAGATTTGTGGCCAAATTCGCAAGTGGTCAAGAGACCCCCTTTGGAAATATCAACACGTTCGAGGGAATTTTAATAGATTTAATAAACCAAAGTATTAGCATAACAATTCCTAAGAAGAAGTGTTAAAAACTTATTGCATAAAACAGCAAAGACAACATTTCAGACTATATGCAGACATGGTCCGAGAACCCCTTTAAAAGTCCAAAATATTAATTCTACAAAAGTGTAAATCCAAAGAAATTTAATAATTGGAATAGCACTCATTGGATTTTAAAAACTGGAAGTCATTTCAAAACAATTTTAAGCTTAAAACTAAAGGTGGTCAAAGGTCCCCTTTTGAAGATTTAACCAATAAAAGGGGTTTGAGATAAAAAAAAAAAAAAAACTAAAAATTCCCAACTACACCAAAGAAAAAGACATTATAAACCAGAAACTTCCAAAGAAAGTGAGAAATCTAAAACCGGTATAAGTGGTCCAAGGACCCCCTTGACGATAAAACAAACTAAACATTTGAAAATCAACATTAATTACCCCCAAAAAAAACCTCTCCCACCAAAATGCAAACATCAGCTTCAAACAACAATTGCAATACCGCTCAATCCTCGGAAAGTCGTAGATTACTGCAACGTCTTCTACTCGATCTACTAATCTTCATAGTACTCGTCATACCCATAATAGTGTGTGAATTCGCCATAGAACCTTTTCGTCGCGGTTTCTTTTGTGATGATGAAACCATACGTTATCCCTTCAAAGGCAACACTATAACCCCCGTTATGCTAGGGCTAATAGTAGCTCTACCGCCGTTAATAGTACTCGTTATAGGAGAATATGCGCGGCAATATAACAAGGGTCAACTAAGTAATACCCGGGATATATTTGGTCGTCAAATACCCACTTGGATGACTAATTGTTTTTAAGCAATTTGTATACTTTTGTTTTGGTTTACTACTAACCTTCGATGCCACCGAAGTGGGTAAATATACCATAGGACGTCTGAGGCCTCATTTTATGGCTGTTTGTCAGCCACAACTGTCCGATGGCACTACTTGTAATGATTTGATTAATCAACATAGATATGTGGAGAATTATTTTTGCCTTGGATCCGGTTACACCATACAAGATGTTAGACAAGCAAGGCTCTCCTTTCCTAGTGGTCACTCGAGTTTAGCCTTCTATGCTTTGGTCTATATATCTCTATATCTGCAGAAAAGAATGCATTGGCGTAGATCGGATTTGACGAGGCATTTTATTCAGTTTGCACTTATCATGCTGGCCTGGTTCACGGCTCTTACTCGTGTTATGGATAATTGGCATCATTGGTCGGATGTTTTGTCGGGCTCTTTGATTGGTGTAATGGGTGCCTTGATTACTGCCAATTATATAAGTAAATTCTTTAAAACGTCCTATACTGATTTCGGTTCTTTAAGATTGTCAGGTCTGGCTAGACAAGATACTTCAGCGACTTTGAATGAGGTACTGGCAGCTACTCCACCGCCCTATACGATGAATCAACAACCGGTAAATGCTTTTACCAATGAAACGTACTGTACGAAGGTATAGGGGTCAAAGGGTAAGGGTAGGTTTTAAGGTATTTAACGATATATATTGTGTAAATAGTTTAAATTGGAAGTTAGTTAATAGGAAATTAAATTCAAGAGGAGAAGTGGGGAATTTAAAGGAAAACAGAAATAACAACAATGCATGTTTTTAAATTATGTCCGACATTTATGTCATGACATTAATACAATTTCAAAAGCTATTTTAGAAAAATATTAAAAAAAGAAACATAAATTTCGACTAAGTAACTAAACATTTCTGTTATAACATGACATTATGTTAGACATTTATGTCATGACATTAATACAATTTCTAAAGGCAATTGTAAGAAATATTAACCAAAACAACAAATTTCAACATAGTTGTTTGATATTAAACATTTGTGTTATGTCACGACATTATGTCTGGCATTTATGTCATGACATCAATATGATTTCAAATATTAAAAAAACTCGAATTTATCCAAATTTACAAATAACCAAGAAAAATTAATAAAATGGTTAAAAATACCTAATGATATAAACTTTCTTAACATTTATGTCATGACATAATTAAGTTCACTTAAGTGATTTCCAAAATTTTAACAGAAAACATGAATTTTTGAAAGTTTTTAGCAAAAACGGAATAACCTAATGCTAAAAAAATTTATTAACATAAAATATCTTAACATTTCTGTTTTAACATGAAGATTTTTTTATGTTTTAAACAAAAATTTAAAACGTTCTAAAAATTTAGAAAAAAATTGTAAATTTGTTTTTTTTTTTGAGTAGTAAGTAGCTTTTGCCAAAAAATTTCTTGACATAAAATCTCTTAACATTTATGTCATGACATAAAGTATTAAAAAAAAATATTTAACAAATATTGTAAAACATTCCATAATTTTTAAGAACATATTAAAAAATTGTTAAATTAGTTTAAAAAATAATCTTGACATAAAATGTCATAACATTTATGTCATGACATAATTTTTTTTTTCAATTTTAAACTAAAATGAAAAACATTCCACAAGTAAGTATTTAAAAATTTATATTAAAATAAGTAAATTACTTTAATTAAGCAATTGTCTGTACAATAAATATGTCTTGACATAAAATTTCCTAAAATATACATACATATGTCATAACATAATTTTTTTTTTAAATAACAAAAAAAAAAATTTTTAAAATTTTAAAGCTTTCAATAACAAATAAGCAAATAAGTTGTTTTGTTAGAACTTTGCTGTATAGAAAGTAATTTGTAACATGTTCCCTTCCCCTTTCCCCTCTATAATGATTAACAATTGTATTATTTCTATTGGTATTATTACTATAATGTATTAAAATTATGTTATTTGTAAAAAAAATATATTGCCAAACTGTATGCCAACCTCTAATTGTCTCATAGTATTATTAACTTGTAAGTTTTTTTTTTTGTTTATTTTTATAAATAATGTTTTTCAAAATTGTATAAATTAGATTATTAATACTATTGTTTTCTAAATGTTAAATAAATTGTTTAAGAATCAAATGTAAAAAAAAAGCCGACAACATTTTTTTATTAAGTTTGTTTTAAAAACCACAAAGGTGAGTCATTTTTATTATGGTTTAAATTTTGAAAAAAATTTTGGGATCTCAAAAATTATGACTATAGGTAGAATACTAACATAAATTTAATTTAATTATATCTCTAACATTATCAAAACTGACAAAGCAAAATAAAATATAAAATTAAGGGAAGGGTTTCAAACCGATAACATCTATATACAGAACATATGTACATATATTTTTGTAATAACTGTTGTGTTTTCGAACAAAAAAAGTAAATAAAAAGGTTTTGTTAATTAATTAAAAACAAACTAAAGCAGTTAATACACACACATAAGTATGTAAATCAAGGAAAAATACATCGTTTATAGTCTAAACGGGAATTCCCTCTAGATAATTTTGATCGAAAAAACATTTAGTAGCAAATTTTTAAAATAAAACAACAATATTTATTTACGATAATATTTATCTACGTTTCTATTTTAAAAATTTTGCAAATAAATATTAAACATTTTGTCTACACGTGTTGCTGTTACGTGCTTTTCTACAAATAGTTTAACTATTCCTAGAAATCTTAGAAATTAGAACTAATATAGATGTTAGCAGAACTAGAACAGAACTAGAATACAACTAGAACATAACTAGAACAGAACTAGAACAGAACTAGAACAGAACTAGAACAGAACTAGAACAGAACTAGAACAGAACTAGAACAGAACTAGAACAGAACTAGAACAGAACTAGAACAGAACTAGAACAGAACTAGAACAGAACTAGAACAGAACTAGAACAGAACTAGAACAGAACTAGAACAGAACTAGAACAGAACAGAACTAGAACAGAGCTAGAACAGAGCTAGAACAGAACTAGAGCAGTACTAGAACAGAACTAAAACAGAACTAGAACAGAACTAGAACAGAACTAGAACAGAACTAGAACAGAACTAGAACAGAACAAGAACAGAACTAGAACAGAACTACAACAGAACTAGAACAGAAACTAAAACAGAATTAGAACAGAACTAGAACAGAACTAGAACAGAACTAGAACAGAACTAGAACAGAACTAGAACAGAACTAGAACAGAACTAGAACAGAACTAGAACAGAACTAGAACAGAACTAGAACAAAACTAGAACAAAACTAGAACAGAACTAGAACAGAACTAGAACAGAACTAGAACAGAACTAGAACAGAACTAGAACAGAACTAGAACAGAACAAGAACAGAACTAGAACAAAACTAGAACATAACTAGAACAGACTATAACAGAACTATAACAGAACTAAAACTGAACTAGAACAAAACTAGAACAAAACTAGAACAGAACTAGAAGTGAACTAGAACTGAACTAGAACTGAATTAGAACAGAACTAGAACAGAACTGGAATAGGACTAGAACATAACTAGAACAGAACTAGACAGAAACGAGGACAGAACTAGAACAGAACTAGAACAGAACTAGAACAGAACTAGAACAGAACTAGAACAGAACTAGAACAGAACTAGAACAGAACTAGAACAGAACAAGAACAGAACTAGAACAAAACTAGAACATAACTAGAACAGAACTATAACAGAACTATAACAGAACTAAAACTGAACTAGAACAAAACTAGAACAAAACTAGAACAAAACTAGAACAGAACTAGAACAGAACTAGAACAGAACTAGAACAGAACTAGAACAGAACTAGAACAGAACTAGAACAAAACTAGAACAAAACTAGAACAGAACTAGAACAGAACTAGAACAGAACTAGAACAGAACTAGAACAGAACTAGAACAGAACTAGAACAGAACTAGAACAGAACTAGAACAGAACAAGAACAGAACAAGAACAGAACTAGAACAGAACTAGAAACAGAACAAGAACAGAACTAGAACAAAACTAGAACATAACTAGAACAGAACTATAACAGAACTATAACAGAACTAAAACTGAACTAGAACAAAACTAGAACAAAACTAGAACAAAACTAGAACAGAACTAGAAGTGAACTAGAACTGAACTAGAACTGAATTAGAACAGAACTAGAACAGAACAAGAACAGAACTAGAACAGAACTAGAACAGAACTAGAACAGAACTAGAACAGAACTAGAACAGAACTAGAACAGAACAAGAACAGAACTAGAACAGAACTAGAACAAAACTAGAACAGAACTATAACAGAACTATAACAGAACTAAAACTGAACTAGAACAAAACTAGAACAAAACTAGAACAGAACTAGAAGTGAACTAGAACTGAACTAGAACTGAATTAGAACAGAACTAGAACAAAACTAGAACAAAACTAGAACAGAACTAGAACAGAACTAGAACAGAACTAGAACAGAACTAGAACAGAACTAGAACAGAACTAGAACAGAACTAGAACAGAACTAGAACAGAACTAGAACAGAACTAGAACAGAACTAGAACAGAACAAGAACAGAACTAGAACAAAACTAGAACATAACTAGAACAGAACTATAACAGAACTATAACAGAACTAAAACTGAACTAGAACAAAACTAGAACAAAACTAGAACAGAACTAGAAGTGAACTAGAACTGAACTAGAACTGAATTAGAACAGAACTAGAACAGAACAAGAACAGAACTAGAACAGAACTAGAACAGAACTAGAACAGAACTAGAACAGAACTAAAACAGAATTAGAACAGAACTAGAACAGAACTAGAACAGAACTAGAACATAACTAGAACAGAACTAGAACAGAACTAGGACAGAACTAGAACAGAACTAGAACAGAACTAGAACAGAACTAGAACAGAACTAGAACAGAACTAGAACATAACTAGAACAGAACTAGAACAGAACTAGAACAGAACTAGAACAGAACTAGAACAAAACTAGAACAGAACTAGAACATAACCAGAACACAACCAGAACAGAACTAGAACACAACTAAAACAGAACAGAACATTATGTTTATTTTACTCCATAATAAAAGGATTTCGTTACTTTTAAACTACATTTGATAGCTATTGAACATTTCTTAGATTTTATATTTTTGACACCGTGTAAACAATTATTTTACACTATGTAAAACTGACTTTACGTTTATTCTTAACATTTCTTAAACTTTACTACTTGTAAACTATTAATTTCTATCATAAAATTTCAATTAAAATCCCTAAAAATTTCCCAGGTTCATTAACCTTTTGCTCTCGTCATCCTGTCAGTCTGTCTGGCATTCCTTCTCTCTTCTTTCTTACTTTCTATCATTCATTTATTTTATTACTTTGTTATAATAAAATGAGATTTGATTCGGTTACTTTGTACCCATTTTTTATGACAGTTTACATGCGTGGATGTGTTTGTTTGAGAGATGTGTAATTTTCTGTAATTTTATATTAAAATTTTTTTATGACTCTTGTCTCTTGTTTTCATTAAGTGTAGTTAAAGCAATTAAATTTTATAATTGTCATTAAGTAAATTACAATTTTATGTCTCTGCTTAAATGTGTAAAGAATGCATTATTATGTTGGTTGGTTGCAAGCATGTGTAGGTGGATGGGGTTTTTACCCCGAAGCATTCTGAAGGAACGTGAAAACAATTTAAACAATGATTAGAAAGAAAACAAGGAAAATCTTTTGTTCGAAAATAATGTTTGAGTTTAGTTTTCAAATTTACGTTAAAGTGTTAAAATTGTATGTATTAGCAACATGTTGTCTCACACCTGTTTTAAGTGTTGTGATTTTATTAACACAATTTTTTGGCATACTTTAGGAGGTAGTAAATAAATAATTGAAAATAAGTTAATAATTATCATTTTGCTTATTTGTTTGCTAATTTATAGCGTTACAATAAAAGTTTTAATTACAGCATGTTTGACATTAAACAAAATACATACATATACTTAGGTGGGGATGGTTTAAATATAATTTTCCAGAGTTGGAGAAGTTTGCACAATTTCCATAATGAACTCATATTAATTAAGAGAAGTAAAACTGAACTAGATCTGAACCAGAACTGAGTTAAAACTGAACTAAAACTGAACTAGAACTGAACTAGAACTGAACTAGAATTGAACTAGAACTGAACTAGAACAGAACTAGAACTGAACTAGAACTGAACCAGAACTGAACTAGAACTGAACTAGAACTGAACTAGAACTGAACTAGAACTGAACTAGAACTGAACTAGAACTGAACTAGAAACTGAACTAGAACTGAACTAGAACTGAACTAGAACTGAACTAGAACTGAACTAGAACTGAACTAGAACTGAACTAGAACTGAACTAGAACTGAACTAGAACTGAACTAGAACTGAACTAGAACTGAACTAGAACTTAACTAAACTAGAACTGAACTAAACTAGAACTGACTAAACTAGAACTTAACTAAACTAGAATTGAACTAACTAGGACTGAACTAGAAGTGAACTAGAACAGAACTAGAAGTGAACTAGAAGTGAACTAGAACTGAACAGAATAACTAGAACTGAACTAGAACTAGAACTGAACTAGAACTGAACAAGAACTGAACTAGAACTGAACTAGAACTGAACTAGAACTGAACTAGAACTGAACTAGAACTGAACTAGAACTGAACTAGAACTGAACTAGAACTGAACTAGAACTGAACTAGAACTGAACTGGAACTGAACTAGAACTGAACTAGAACTGAACTAGAACTGAACTAGAACTGAACTAGA